CTGCTGAAAAGATCCATTACAGACAACTTTCTAGATTAATTTACCATACATGCTATAGTTGTGTGCAGGGTTGGGGAGTAATGGATTTCATGTAACAGCGTTACGTAATCAGGATACAACAAAAATTAACTGTATTCCGTTACAGTACAAAAAAATAGACATACTTAGATTACAGGTACATTTGGAAAAATCAGGGATTACTTTAAGCAGAAAGTTTCCATGAAACAGAAAACAGAGTGCCTCTGTAACTTATACGTGTTTCTGTAAAAACACAAAGCTAGGTAGGGACGTGTCGCAGACCTTGGCGTTTACAGCCGCCAGTAGCGCTGAGTGTGTGTTAACGCCCCACCCCGTGGAGCAGACTCTGTGCGGACTGTTTCCAGCCTCAGTGAGTGAAAATGGCAGCCGGACCAGCTCCAAACACAGCCTCCGAGACCGAGAGAGGCCAGTTTGACTGCTGGAAATAACTTACAGTCCTCGGGGCTGAGTAAGCCAATAGAACCGCTAACAGCACAGCAAATTGACCAAGCTAACTAGCCACAAATACAGGCAGATAGGCTACAGTTAGCAGTTTAGCAAAAAGTAATGCTATCCATGAAGAAGCTCTGTGTAAATCATCTCAGTACTGGATTCCTTGTTCCCTCTGAGGCTGTGTTCTGTCCTGTTCATGCCGTGTTCACTGTGAGGCTGCTGAGGACGGTTTTGTTGCCCGCTCGCCTGGCTACGGTTCCCATTCAGGCACTGTTCCCCTCCATCATTCCCTGCTGGGCCCCCCACCCCTGGCCTGAAAACCTCCAGTGCTTGGGTGAAGGTATAAACACCTTCATACAGTCTATGATAAACACTAACACTCCCCTGGTGCTCTGAGCTCCCAGTACGGGCAGAGGGAGCTAATTTGACCAGTGATTGCACAGCTAACTGAGCTAATAACTGCAGCTAGTTAAGTTAGCTGTTAACTAACTTCAGCAACACATAAAGCTAACTGTCCATCAGGAAACTGTGAATCACAGAGTGATTCACGCGGACATCAGAGAGTAAACTAGAATATATTTTCTCCATATTTCTAATATTTCTCCATCAAGTATGATCCAGTGAAAAAGATCAGTGAAAAAAGTTGTGTTTTTGTACAGTAATCAGCGGGCCCAGTTCCAGAAACATGCTTCATTTTTTGTGCAATACAAGTGAGTCATTTTAAAATGGTTTTCCAAATGACAAACTTTTAAATATATTAAAGAATACCTACAAAACAACGTTTTTCATCATTAATGGGCCAGATACTGCCATAGTGGTGACATAGTGCAAAGCATCTCATAAAAATATTTAAACATGGATTTTGTGAACGGGAGATTTTGTTATTCTATGTTTATGTAAAAATTGCAGAAAAGGCATCTTTGATACACTCTTGTCTTCGTTTGCCTATTTGAAGTAATCCAAAAGTAACTAAAAGTAATCAGATTACAATACTTTTATTTTGTGTTACTTGGATTACATTTTTAAACAAGTAATTAGTAATTGTACCGGATTACATTTTGAAAGTAACCCTCCCAACCCTGGTTGTGTGCACATAGTCTTCCTTTGCAGTGGGGATTATTACAGACATTACGGGTGTGCTTTCTGATTTAGCCTCCGAATAAAGTTTATGTAATGTGGAAAAACCTGTTGACTGATATTCTGACCGCTCATGCTTCTCGCCCAGCAAGACGTTTTACAGTGATGTCGTGTTCCCTGCTTTCACTAATTACTTTGGTGAGTGCAGTGTTTTTATAACCATTAGAAACAATTGCCTGCAAAAATAACACCAGAATCGTAATAAACTGGAATTATCCTTTAATTTGAGGCATTCAACAACAGGAGACTGTGTACCAGTGCACATGTGAACATGTATGTTTTAGCAGGAAAATAAAAACATCTAGACACCTTAATTATGATGTGTTCAAACCCCCCCCCCCCCCCCCCCCCCACACACACACACACACACACACACATACAAACCCTTATAACGTGGCTCTTTGCACATCCAGCAGCAGCCCTCTGTGAGAGATGGGTTGAGATAAACTTTCTTAACACAACAGCCCGGCTCAGCCTTCGGACGCTTGTTCCGTCGGACTATTTTGACAGGCCGGTTTACACAGCTGGTAAAAGTTGACGAAGTGAGTGACTGGCAAAACATCTCGACTCGATTGGGATTGAAATGCAAAATAACTCAGTGTCACGTGTCACTCTAAACATCAAATACAGAATATGCTGGATTACAGATCACTTTCATGTGCACTTGACCGCTGTTCAAACATCATATAATTCCACGCCAAATGTCACAGGTGTGCATTTTGCACTAGGATACTGTTTTGACTACTGCTTGTGCCAGTTACTATAATTATGTTTAACACAGAATGTCAAATTGCTCTATATTTGGCGATGATTTTTCTTCGGGCGCTGTTGGCTCATGCTTGGTTGCTTCTGGAACATGCCTGTGCATAAGTGGCCTGAAACTTAACCCCTTACAGGGCTGACGCACAGCCATAACACAGACTGGAGGAATGCCAGGCCAGTCGCGTTTAACAAAACAATATCTCCAGTGAGAAGTTCCAGATACATTTTCTTTTCCACTTGTTTTTCCCGTTTTTTTTTCTTTCTCAAGGTAGTGTAATGCTTTTAAGCATACAGTATGTTGTAATAGGAAGAGACACATTGTGTAACTGGAACATAAGCGTATTAGTCAGTCTCAGGTGTGGAGATCACACACTTTTACACACACACACACACACACACACACACACAAACATGCTCTCTCACATGTATTTATAACTGGTCACACACACACACATAAACAGCACCTTCACTTTGATGAATGCATGTCCTCACTCCCACACACAAACTTCTCACAAGAGCCCAAGCACACTAATGCAAACACACACACACACACGCACAAACACACACACACACACTAATACACACCCAAACACACCCCCTTGTCTCACAGCCTCGGCACTTTACTTGATTTCCTCCCAGATTTGTCACCACCGCGCACTGTGTTTCACAATCGGCGTGCCAGGCTCAGCTTTGCCCAATTCAATCTGGTCCCTTTAGAGGAAGCACAGCGGTGGCAACGGCTCCCTACCAGGAGCAGCGTTAGCGTTGTAGCTCAACGTATTCTTTGTAGTCCAGACGGTCGATTCATCCATCCACCGTACATCCCCAGCTGTCTCTTAATCACCAGGGTTTTTTTCCCTGACAGGTAAGCTGCTCAGAAACAGAGAAGTCTTGTCAAAGGCGATGAGGAGACGTTAGTCATGAGTTATTTTGGGGGGTTGGGGAAGGTTGGCAAGGGGTTTGGGTGTCTGCTCCACTGAAGAAATGAGAAAAATGTGCAGGTGATTGTGATTACTTGTGGCTGTCTGCTATATACACTCCTTTATTAGGTCCCTTGGTCCCATATTAGGTAGCTTTGAGTGCGAGTGATGTATTCTTGTGAACTCAGACAGTCAAGAACAAGACTTTGACAAACACTTCAAGCTTACACCTCGGCTTTCTTCTCATACACAACAGATGTCCTGATTTTATTCTGGAGCATACTGTTCACTATTTTCTTGAAATATCTATGTTTTAATGCTTTTATTTTGCTCAACACATTGATTTGTACTGCGTTTTATAAGTTATTTTTGTACTTTTTAAAAATATTTGTACATATTGGGGGTGGGGTGCTGATGCAGTAGTGGATAAGGCCCATGCCTTTGGTGTGAGAGAGCCGGGTTCGAATCCACTGTGAGACACCACTGTGTCCCTGAGCAAGACACTTAACCCCTACTTGCTCCTTGCAACCTCTGACGTATATAGCAGTTGTAAGTCGCTATGTATGTCTCATGTTATCTTAAGTATTTGTTAATTAATGCATTAATTTGCTTAATCTAGCATACCTGGTTATGTATGTAAGGGGTGATAATTGGAGGACACCAGGCAGCTCATGTGCCTGTTTGTGTAATTGTGTAAAATGTGTAATACAACATTTAGAGCACAATATTTACATCTTCATGAATACTAACACAGTATTTGACAATAGAGTGAATGATTTTTGGTATTGAACCAGCAGATTATAGAGACCCAAACAAACGTTAGGGTGCCGGAGGAGGTGCTTTCCTCCTCAACACTTTTGTTGTGCTCTCAGACACTTCCAACGAACAGCGTATGTGTCTCTTCTCCAACTGTCAGTTGCAGGCTGGGGTTTTCCTGGGGCAGTGTTTCAGCTATGCTTCGTTTGTTGTGATACCTCAGGAGAGGCTGTAAAAGAGCACTCTTTATTATCCGTGCTAGTGTGCCAGGATTTATCCCAGTAAAGTCTGGAATGCCCTCACGTGGGAATCGGATTGGACGTGCACAGTCAATTTCTTTGTTTAGCCTGCTTCACGTGTGTGTGTGTTTGTTTGTGTGTGTGTGTGTGTGTAAGGGTGAGTGAGAGTGGGAAAGAGAGTCTGTTATGAGTATGTATCTGCTGGTGAGGATGCCCTGCTTTTTGTTTCCTCTGAGCTATTTCTGTTTGGACAGAACTGCAAGCTCTCTGTTTTGCATGGTTAGCGGACGACCCTGTCTCTCCACTGTGTGTGTGTGTGTGTGTGTGTGCCTCTGTGAGCGTGAGTGTGTGAGTGTTGCTGGCAGGCCTGTGAGTTTTTTTTCTGCCAGGCAGAAGTCAGGCAAAGATGGATATGAGAAATGTTGGTATCTCATACATTGAGTTGACATTAACCTTTGATTAAACATAATATTAGTGATAACTAGAGCGTTTGTGTGGCCCATGATTAGTTTGAAAGAAAGCTTTTTCTCCTTGACAGTTGACAAACACTGGTGACTTCCTGATTTGAGTGCCACTGTAACACAAAAATATTGGTGCAAGTATTGCGAATGTGACCTGACTGCCTGTGTCGCCCACTAAACAATCCCATATTGACTCACTTGTATGTTCTCTCTTTCTTCCTCCCCTTTACCCCCTTCCTCCCCTCTCTGTTTAGGGAAAAGCTGGCCGTGGCTCGCCTGCAGAGGGAAGTCGCACGGAGCAAGAGTGAAGGAACAATGGTAAAGTATAGTGGGGCTGCTCATCCCCTGTAATCTGCGCGAGGCCAAAAAAGCCACTGTGCGCTCACTTCACGCACACACCCAAGCACACTGTCAAGCTCTGCCAAGTCCGTCACATCAGCCAGAGTCAATCATTAGTGTCTCAACACTTCAACAGTTGATCTCAAAGAAGACAATTGTGGAGAAATACGTGCATGAGCAGGTATTTGTCAGCCATCCAGTACAACACTAAACAATACGAACTGTTCAAGACATTTGCAGTTTTAAAGGCATCTAAATGAATACTTAAAATTAGGAAATATCTGATTTAAAAATAAATAAGTAAAAAGGAATCCAAGCATTCAATTTTTCTTTCTGTATTTGTTAGTTTTTGATAATTTGTGCTACGGAGTAATATTTGTGCCTAACAAAATAGTGAGATTTGATATCCTGTGTTAGAAATTAGATACATTTCAAAAAGTAGATATTCAGATGCACAGTCAGGTTGTGAAACATTATAAATCTGCAGCTGGGGCTTAATCTTCTGTTTTTGCTGATATTGTGCTTTCACTTCTTTTGTGAGAGAGCTTGTGCAATCAGGGGGAAAGAATCAGGAGGTGGAGATCTGCATATATACGTGTACATAGGTGCATGTGTTTATTTCAGTTTGTCTGTGTTCATACAGTACATGTGTCTAAGGGAGGTCAGAAAGTGAAAAGTTGAACAACGTGAGGAAGCGGAGCTCAGCTGATTGCAGCCTGTAACCGCAGGCCCAGCTGTTTGACTGCACCCCAGTGACGCCTCTGATTCTCTTTGTGGCAGCAGGCCTAAAGCAACAGCACACAAGGGTTGATGTGCCGTGAGATTTTCGCACCATGTTATGTGATTCTCTATTGATCCCTGAAGGAGGAATGCTTGTTTTTTCTTCTCACCTCTTCGCGTAGTCGAAAAGGTTAGATCCCGGGATCACATGCCCTGTAGCTGGGCAAGAGTTCAGTGTAATGCTCATGGGCACATCAGCACAGCAGATTCTTGCTGCTATTGAGTCTTGAACTTGTTTGAGACACAGTAGGTGTACCAGAGACATGTTAAACAGTATGTTATGGCTTAATGGAGGGGCATCTACCACGTGAATAGTTCTTTGTTTAAAGTGCATCAGTTCACAAATGTAAACACTGAAACAGTAACTAATTCATAGTAAAAGGAGATAAGTGCATACAATCGCTCCTTGACCCCCACTTTCACCCACTTTACAGCTTCCCCGACCTTTTCGTGACTCTTCTAAGACTGCCATCCCAGTTATGCATATCCATGTGAAACAAGATGGTTCAGGATTGATTTCCACAGTGGGTAGATATACGATGTAAGTTTTTCTGCTTAAGTTATCTTTAACTGACCTTAAACTGAACAGCCAATCAGCCTGATGTTTAGACTCCAATGCATTACATACGTCACATTGAAAATATCTATGATTTGGACTCCAATCTTTGGAGCCAGTATGTTCTTGTAAACATACAAGATTCCCAGAGAACATTGATATCTGCTAGCCTGATGCCTGAGCTACAGTCTCTCCCTTATCAGCCCACTGTCATCACCCTGACAAGGACAGTTACAGAGGCAAAGAACTAGAGCTGGAAGGTCAGCGAACATCCAGTTGTGGGGGTCAGCTAATGACTCCAAGTGTGACCGGCTTTAGTCCATTTTGTGTTTACACTGCCCAATCATAAATGAACTAAGAGGTGTAAACGAAAAGTTTATTGGACTGACAGATGAGTCTTTCATTGGACTGTTTCAATGACTGTCATCCTGCATTTTCAGCACCACATGACACTACAAAGAGAATATGAAAACTGACGTCAAGTATTGCAGCACTTCATTGTGTTGAGATGAAATGTATGGGTTTATTTGTCTTCTCTGTTGGTCACAAAGAATTTGGTGCAGCCTGCAGCTTGACCCCATACGCCATAAATAATGACTGCTAGAAACAGGATAGTAGCTGTCAAATAGAGTGCGGGAACTTTGATTAACTTGTATCATTTATGTTTCCATGGTTAACAAATAATCTCGAACAATTGTGTAAGAGATCACTTCCTTGATACTTCCAACAATTAGTAGAAAGACAGGTTACTTATGAAAGCATCTTAACACATCCACTTCCACTTTGTGGTACCTATATGTACATAACAGAATTCAGTTTATGTGTCCATACCTCAAGGCTACACCTCAGTGTGTCAGCACCTCCTCCTGTAACATTAACCTTGCATCGTTTGACCTCCACATTGCCCAAGAAAAATATACCATTCGCTACACTGTGAGACTCTACTGAAGGCCCAGCTCTCAGACTCACGCGGGTGGATGACATGCTAATTATTACTTTAAAGGGGTGTGTCTGCGCATGCACGGGGCTGAGAGAGAGAGGGATGAGTTATCTGTGCCAGACAGGAGGAGGGTAAGAGGGGGGTTGGAGGAAGAAAGGGAGGAGGGGGATATCACTAAGCTCCATTTGAAATTGGGATTATCCTCGTTGGAGTCCCCTTGCACTCTCTCTCCGGCATTCCTGGGAGGCTTCGGAGCTCAGGCACGGTTCTTCAATAGAAATGAAAAAGAGACTGCTGCATCAAGGAGATAATTGTCAAAGTGCTGGTGGTGTGCAGTGGGAACTGCTTACCAGCCACAGCCTTTGCCCCACAGACCCCCACACCCTGACACCCACTGCTATGCCCACACGCTTCCCCAACCCCCAATCTTTGCCTGCCAAGGGACTAACCTAGAGAGACAGATTAAAACAGCCACAGACTTTTGAAGTGGCACTACCCCTCCTCTGTATCTGATGCCTCTCTTTAACAGCCTCTGTTCCCTGCCTTGGTCTTCCCTTTCTACATCCATTAGTGTCTTCTGTGTAACGCGATCAGAGAGACAGAACGCGGCGGTGCCACCCATTGCAGTGGCGTGCCGTTTGCTTCTGCTGAGCAGCTCCGCGGGAACGTGTTATGCAGTACCATTACTAGTGCTTTGTGTGTAGGCAAAGAATGTGAAAGGCATCTTTATGATTGTGCGAGCCGCTTGTACACACTGTTACAATTGTAAGCTTCAGGTCTCGCCTGCACAGTTACACAGACGTTGAGTGTAAATGAAAGACTATTAACAACACAGTTTACTGAGGAGCGTGTGCTTTAATTGATTCTCCTGTTGTGAAACATGAGTGCTACTGGCAGTGCAGGAGTACAACACTCTTTTGTTGTTTATCTTTTGGGAGAATCGCATGAAAACATTTGAATAATTTTCTGGGCAATCGGTGTTTAGACTCAGGATATGAATCGCAGCATCTGCACAGTATTTCACCACAAATATGGCCACCCAAGATGCAGTGGTATGGTCTAACAACCACCAGATCTGTCTGTCCTACACCACTGTTTATTTCTTAAACTTTACATTAGGGCTTGGACATGATGCTTTTGGCCTGCTCCGCAGAGCACAATCTTTAAGACTCTTACAAGAAAAATAGTGGATTTCCCGTTAGGTGTTTGGTAGAGCACAGGTCATGGTTTATTCAGGGAGGGCCTCAGTCTCTTTCCAACAAGCCTGGCCTGACTTTCTCGAGTCAAACCGCTCATTCACAGCCTCATCGCTGCTGTAGGTTTTCTCTGGAATTCTTCACACCCCAACCCAGAGGCGTGGTACAGGGCAGGGACTGCGCTCTGTCTCCCACTCTCTTTTGATGCCACTCTGAAGTGCAATCTAAGTCCGACGGGGGCAGGATGCTGGGTTTCCTGTCAGGGAGAAAACAGCAGTGCACATGTAGGCTCGTAAAGGCAGCGCTACTGAGTGGGCTGAGCTGACCATTAAACAGGCATTTAAACTGTTGGGTAAGATTATAACCACTGGAAACGGCTGTCTAAACAACTTGTGAAAATAAACTCTTGCTTTGAGAGAAACTGGCTTTATCTTTCTTTGGGATTTTTTGACACTCTCTGATAGCTGAACCTAAACAGATTTGAGTCCCATGCTTACAGTACATTCACATGCAATTATTTTCCAGTATGTTTGGGCTGATGACAGCGTTTGATTTGTTTCGTGGCGGACTGAAGCCTACATATGTACGACAAAGAGAAATGTTTTCCTTGAACTTGGTTTACTTGTGTAATTCAATTATTTTAAAATCAAATTTTATGTAAGTTAAGTTAAGATAAGAATGGAGCGAATATAAAATGTATGGCAAAATAGTCCCTGGGGCTAAGATAGGAATCAGCTATTTTTGTCCATGAAAACAGATTTCTCATGTGCCGCAGTCAGCAAAATTGTATGTGACACACTTGGTAACACATCAAGTAAAATTTACTTTGAAATTGGATCCCCTAGATGACTGAATGCCCTTCGTTCAAGTGATTTGGTGTTGGAGTGATTCAGTCTTTTTTTCTTTTATTAAATGAAACATCCCTGCTAGTAGGAAAATTTCACTTAATCTCAATAAAGACACCATTGAATGAGGAAAAAGCCTCCCGATGGGTTATGTCCATGTTAGACTATTCCGCATTTGAGATTTAAGTCTGATGCCAATGTTCGATGCCGAAGCAGCAAGCAGTGTGCCCTTTATGTAGCAAAGTAAGTGGTTGGGGATCGGGGTGGTGGACGACCTTCTAGCACTCAGCGAGACTGCAGTTTGAGTGCTCAGACCTGCAATGAACGTTTGCCACCATACCTGCTGGAAACCTACTGCTTTATTTGCCATAACCATGAGCTTTCGTTAACATGAACAATACAGGATTTGCCATGAGCAGATACTGTAGAAAAGTTAACACTGGATATAATGAAAAATTGTTTTAATCTGAACGTTGTTAGGGCTGGAGGAAGATCATGATTCGCATTTGAAATAAAGAAATTTGAAATCAATTGTATTGAAGGGTAGCTTCAGCTGTTTTAAGTCTTTAATATAAATATGGTTTTACAAGATTTGTATTTAAAGTTTTAAATGTGCAGTGTTTAGATATTAACTAAAATTATAGTACGCTGCATCTTTTGCT